GAAAGTTCATATCTCTTAGATCATATATGTCAAATTTTGTTAAAATTGAACAACAACTTGAAGGTAATCAAAGTGTTCATATTTTAGTATATTTTGAAATGTATATATTACGTCAATTTTGTTTTATAAGAATGAAGTATCAAATCATCTTAGATTAATATAAAATTTGACATATATGATCTAAGAGATATGACCTTTCAATCTAACGGTTGAATTTTCAAAATTTACATTTAATATAAAGTTATTGAGCGGTGTAACACTTAGTAAAAGTTATACCGGTGTCGTTTGAACCCTCCTCATATATATATATATATATATTAATCTTTAATTATCAGTTTTAAAATATTACATGGATCATATTTATAAAATAAAAATAAAAACCATTTTCCCGTGACACTTGTGGCTTGTTAATATGGTTGGTTTGCTTAGTTGTGTTGCATAAGCATAATTAAAGGTTTTGGGGTTGATTATTTTTGGGGTTCAATTTATGTCTGAATGTTCTAATTTAAGATAATAGTCTGTTTGAATTTTTGACTTTAAAATTCCCCAACCATGGTTTAGACAAAAAGTTACAAGAAACAAGGTTTAGTTTAGTGGAGTGGAATAGTTGTGATGTCAATTTTAGGACATTGTTATTTGAATTCTTAATTTATAGTCCAAATGGCCCTAAATTTTGGTAATGGAAAGCATGCATGTGGAAAGGAATTTGAAGAATGAGTGAAATTTACATGATGCAATAACTTTCTCGGTTTACTGAAAGTCGGCGAGAGTCATGAGCTCAATATTTTACTTGTATTTCTCATTGGATGTTTTTAAATACAATATTTCTTAAACTAATTGGAAACTCGTGAAGTTACAAAAAAATGTGCTCAGATTTTTCCCAATTTGTCCCACCGATAAGCTCAGAATTTAAAGGGTAAATTAAGTTTGTGTTTGGATTATGCTTAAAAATTTAAATTGAATTAAATTTAATTTTCTAAATCAACTTTTAAAAAATGTAATAACTTTTTAACTTTTAATTCAATTGAGATCTATTTGTAATTCATACTCAATAGAATGAGAAAAAAAGAAAAAGAAAAAAAAACTTGTTAAAGATGCAGGCATGCATTCGAGATCAACTATAAAAAGTTATAAATTTTAAACACAAAAACAAACATACCCCAAGCACCTCTAGACTATTTGAAGATTAATCCTATACAAAGTATAATAAAGATAACAAACATAACAATTTATTTAAAATTTTGGCTTAAATAACTTCAATGTAAAACCCGATGTTTTTACTTTTAGTCCTTTTAAAAAACATTCATTTTCTTTGTAAGTTTTTTGCTTTATTTTCGTTCTTATCGTGAAACTGACTATTAAATTTAATGGGAAAAAATTAATAAATTATTGAGACCAAAATAATTATAAAAAAAAATGTTAGGGACCAAAATAAAAAAGTACCTAAATGAAAACAAATAAAACTTGAGAGGACTAAAACGAAAATAGCAAAACTTTGAGAAGACCAAAATAAAAATAAATAAAATTAAAAAGATTAAAAAAAATCAACCTTATTTTTCAGGATTAAATATTTATTTGAATCAAATTTATAAAATTTAAATCTTTATATAAAGTAAATATACTAATGCAGTATAAAAAAAATATTTATAACAAATGCATTGTTGACTAGCAAAAACATTTTCAAAATTAAACCAACTTTGTAAAAGTCATATAAGGATATAATTATCCTTACAAATGTGCAAAAAGTAAATATAACTAATAAGTAGAAAAAATTAAACATAAAAAGAGATAGAGATAGTAGAGCAAATCATAACATGCAAGGATGAAATCAAATATAAAAAACAAAAAAAAAACAAAAAAACAAATGAAATGAACAAAATTACATTAATATATTTGTTATATCACACCAATATCTCTTATAAATTACATTTAAAAGAAAAAAAAAGCTTTTTTATTATTTCATACTTACATGTTATCACTTATTTTGACATTTATGTCATATTTTATGTTTTGCTCTTGTCACTCTTCATTTGTTATATTTATTTCATAACTAAAAGGTGGTTGCAACTTTACTAGACAGTTTTTATGAAGATTTATGTTTAATGATTTTATATAGTCACTAAAAATATATATTCTTACTTTGTATAAGTGTAAATTAAAATTTAAACTTTATAACTTTAACCTAAATACAAGTTTAGTACTTTTAAAATAAGATTAATTTTGTTTTATTCCTCTTATTTCTAGTTATTTTCTTTTAATCTTCTTAATTTTATTTATTTTTATTTTAGTCCTTTCAAATTAATTTTAGTTTTTTTCATTTTAGTATTTTTCTATCTTGGTCCTATATTTTTCTCATTTTTCTATTTTAATTTCTATAATTTTTTTTTTATTTTAGCTTCTACAATCTTTTGACTTTTTTTTACGTTAAATTATAAGTAAAGATGAAAATGAAAAAACTAATTATAGAGACAAAAGTATAAAAAAAAAAAAGTTAAAAGAAATAAAATCAAAAGAACCTTATTTTACAAGGACTAAAAAGTTATTTAATTTAAAAAAAAATATTTAAAAAAATCAAAATCTCACATGAATAAAAGATAAAGTCAAAATACAGTATAGAAGTAATGAATAACTCTCATCTTACATAAAGGAATATATTGAAAAAGCTCAAAACTTGTCTATCTTAAATTATTTAAAAATTAAAGTTTTATATTAACTAGAATTGAAGTTAAAATTTAATAAATAAGTAAATAATAATAATCTTCATGTCACAAATCAATTTTATAAATTTGAGTTAAACTCCAACCCCACAAGTGGAGTTGAATTATTCCTTGATAAGTACTATTAGCATGCATTAAGAGATTGAAAAATTTGAAAATAAATATTGGTGGAAAGTAAAGCAACAGCTAGCATATGGAACAAGTACACAGGCTACAACTCACACTTTCTCCCCAAGGCCATTCACTACTCCTATATAAAGGGTATCATCAATGCTAATCTCCTCATACTCATATCTGTGTCATAACAACATTGGATTTTCATAAACCCTATTGTCTCCTGATCATTATTATTATTACTATACATATTCACAATGGCCTCAAGCTCAGCTTGGACATCAAAGCAGAACAAAAAGTTTGAGAATGCTTTGGCCATCTACGACAAGGACACCCCAGATCGGTGGCAGAACTTGGCTAGGGCCGTGGGAGGGAAGACCGTGGAAGAAGTGAAGAGGCACTATGAGATGCTCGTCGATGACTTGAAGCAGATTGAGGAAGGTCACGTCCCCTTGCCCAATTACAGAAACGTTTCTGCAACAGTTGGACCCAACATCAAAGGTTACACTTACATGGACCAAGAACAAAGGTTCAACCTCTTGCGTATTGCTCACGTTTAGACCCTTCATGCTTTATCATTCATCTTCCCTTCCTCTGTTTCACACTTCCTTCGGAGAATTTATTATGTAGTCTACTTATATAATCTCAATCACTATCCACGTCATATACATGATCAAAATTTTCAATTTACATTAAAGAGTTAATATACCTTCATCATGTGTCATGTGAAAATTCATACGGACCATAACGATAACCACTGAAATCGGTCTGGTTGATAGAAAGTTGAGATACAAATTTAGGTTCATCATGCATACAAACTATGATGATTGAATTACATGATCAGTATAATAGTAGAGTTGGAATAAAAACATGGGAATTTAGATTTATCAAGAATACAAATAATAATAATGATGATGATTAAATCACTAAGATTAATTTAATGATGGAGATTAAAGTAAAAGGTTCTAAACTATACATGATGATTCAGAACCATATTTGTTTAATACTATACATAAAATCTGTTTAAATATAAATTAGAAGTGTTTTTAAGAATTTATCTATTAGAAAAAATTCTTTATAACCGCTTTAAATTTATATCCAAGCAAATTTGTAAACTTATTTTATGAATGTGATTGTTTTTAATTTCTTTCTCCCGGCATGGAGAAAATTTTGGTCGTTAATGTGGCTTGAGTCTGATTATGTATATTCATCGTCTTGCAGGTTGAAGGTTCTGAGCCTCCGGTGAACTAAAGTATGAGAGGAGCAGAAGCAGAGTAGGTGGGAAAAAGAATGAGGCATATTAGTACATTGTGAATGAAGCTAAGTGTAGATTAAAATGCACGCACCTAGCTTTGTTCTATGATGACAAAATCAAGTTTTATTTGGTTCTCTTCCTATTTTTCTATATATGTTAAGTATATCTGCCGTGTAATCCAAATCAATGTAAAAATCAAATTATCCATCTACCAGGTAGTTTCTGTCAAGTTCTTTTTAATCTCTTTTTTGGGTGCATATAATTATGGAAATAGGAAAAGATCTTGAACACCTTCTAAAAACTAAATTGAAGTGTATGTGTGTGTGATTGTGTGTGTGAGAGAGAGAGAAATACAATTTAATGAACAAGAAAGAGTTTATATAAAATGGCAGAAAATACACATGTCTGGCCCAATCCACCGACCATAACTTGGATTCATCATTACTGTCCGGAAGATTTGGAACCATACGAAAAGGTTGACCAAGTCAAAATACGCAACTTTCATAGTGACCGTAGAGGAATGCAAGAACACTGAGCGTTAGATTCAACAGTATTATTTACAAAAACTCGATGAGCCTTGAATTATAAAGGAGGTGAGAAAAATGATAAAAGTTTTAATAAATTCTTAGCAGCTCATACATTTGTAATAATAATAATAATAATAATAATAATAATAATAATAATAATAATAATAATAATAATATAATTACAAGGAGGGATCCGTTGAATTTAAAACTTTTAATGTATATATAAATCTTTAAATTCTAAAAGAATTTAAAAATTATTTAATATTTTATTTTATTAATTTAAATTAACATATAAAATTATTTTATAACTATCTGTTAATTGAATTAATAAAATAATATTAAATAAATTTCAATTTTTTTTATGAATTTATAGACTTAATCTATATATTAAAAATTTTAATTTTAATATTTATATAAAATATGAGTTATTGAATATAATAAATCTATCTAAATTTAATTTCGAGTAAACCAATCTTTCTTTTATAGTTATTATTAATATGTTAGGCTGATTGCAAGGATTCATTTACTTTTTATTTTATTAAAACTTATAGTTAAATTTGGTTAACAGTGATCAACTTCTAAGCTTACTTTATAATATATTTTTTTACCATAGTGGCTTAAATTTATATGTGAAGTGGTAATACTCAATCTCAATTTACAAACTCCTCACACTAAGATATGTTTGTCTGTGTCATGACTAAACCCTCTCATTTATTCACATTTCTCACACTAGAAGAAATATCATCCTCTTTTTTTTTTGTCAATATTTGCTATAAAATATATGATGCTACAGGCATGCACAATTATTAACACAACTTCAATATTATTAAGAGAAGTTCATTTTCAGCAATAAAATAATTTCGTTAATTTTTTTTATTTACGTTACCCAAAAATGATAACATATGATATCTATCATCGTTTTCGAATAAGTCTATCGATCTTCCGTGCTTTAATTAAAAACTACTTAATTGTAGAAAGCAAATAGGACCATCAACATCTTTTGATTTGAAAAACAAAATCACATAGTTTGCTATACAATCAAAATTCCTTATTTTTAGAATAAAAAATAAAAAAGTTTTTATAAAAGATTAAAAACCTATTTTGATCCTTTATAATATTTGTTTATTTCAATTTATTCCTACTTTTATTTTTGTCTCAATTTGGTTCCTAATAAATTAATTGGTTGCAATATCGGACTTCCGTCCAAATTGTAACAATTTAATTTATTAGGGACCAAATTGAGACCAAAAATAAAAATGGGACTAAATTGAAACAAACAATTATTATAAGGGATCAAAATAGGTTTTTAGCCTTTATAAAATATACTTATTCTATTGGTAAGATGTGAGAAGATGAACCCAAGCGAAAAAGCATATATTGATTATCATTGAATTCTCTTCCATAGGTACATGAGTAATACAATGTAGTATATATATATTTACAAACAGTAGATAACCATCCTAGTAACAAATCTGTAACCGCCTATTTATGGTTAATGACTAACAAAATTGCAATTATCTAATTATGGTTATAAAGATAAAAAATATTGATCCAAGAGGATTAATTCTCCCTAATACCCCTTCTCAAGTTGGGTTGTATATATATCAATGAGACACAACTTGGAGACAGCTTCTGTAAAATTCCTCAGATACAAAGCTTTGGTGAAGGCATCTGCTAGTTGGGATTTTGATGGCACATGAAACAAATGAATCAAGCCTTGCTGAATCTTTAATCTTGCGAGATGACAGTCCACTTCAATGTGTTTTGTCCGTTCATGAAAAGTGGGATTTTTTGCTATATAAATTGCAGACTAACTATCACAAAAAATAGAAAATGGAGTAGGAATGTTGATAGATAAGTCATGACATAAAAACTGCAGCCATTGGAGCTCACAAGTAACAGAGGCCAAGGCTCTATACTCAGCCTCAGAAGAGGATCTAGAAACAGTGGATTGTTTCTTAGATTTCTAAGAGATTAAGGTTGAACCATAAAAGATACAAAAACCAGTAACAGAGCGTTTAGTATTGGGACAAGAAGCCCAATCAGAATCAGAGAAGGCTTGAATACGATGCTCAGTTTAAGAAGGATAAAATAGATCAAGTGCTAGAGAAGACTTTATATATCTTAGAATGGGAAGAGCAGCCTGAAAGTGAGTGGCCCTTGGAGAGTCAACAAACTGACTTAGTTATTGGACAACAAAACTAATATCAGGTCTAGTATTTGTTAAATAAAGAAGGCGACCAATAAGCCTTCAAAAAATAGTAGGATCATCCAAAGGAAGACCTTCAGAAGAATAAAGCTTAACAGAAGCATCAATAGGAGTGCTCACAGGTTTGCAATCTGTTAAACCATGTTCAAAAAGAAGCTTCAAATAGTATTTTCGTTGATTAAGGATAAGACCAGATTGAGATCGAGCGATTTCAAGACCTAAAAAGAATTTGAGAGGACCGAGATCCTTGATGTGAAATTGAGCATGCAAATATGCTTTGACAGCATAAATTTTAGCCATATCATTACCAGTTAATACCACATCATCAACATAAACCAGAAGATCTGTGATAGGAGAATGACACTTTTGATAAAAAGGGAGTGATCTGTAGAGCTCTTAATGAAATGAAGGGAAATAAGAGCCTCAGTTAATTTTTGGTTCCACTGTCTGTTGGCTTGTTTAAGGTCATAGAGAGATTTGTGTAGCTTACAAACAAGGCGTGGATGGAAGAGCTTGAAACCTGGTGGAGGCTTCATATATACTTCCTCAGAGAGATCTCCATGCAAAAAGGCATTGTTAACATCTAATTGGTGAAGACACCAATTATGAGTAGCTGCTAAAGAGAGTAGAAATTGAACAGTACTAAGCTTGACCACAGGAGAAAAGGTCTCAAAATAGTTCACCCCTTCTGTTTGAGTGAATCCCTTAGCCACTAACCTGGCCTTATAACATTCCACACTGCCATCAGCCTTATATTTGACACGGTAAACCCACTTACAACCCACAGGGCACTTTCCTTCAGGAAGTCTAACTAGTGACCAAGTTTGATTCTTCTCCAGAGCTTCAAGTTATGCTTCCATGGCTCTTCTCCAACATTCCTCTGAGTTGGCTTCCTTAAAAGAAGTAGGCTTATGTTGTGCAGAAATAGAAAGACAAAAAGAAGTGTGAGAAGGAGAACAATTATTATAAGTAACAAAAGAAGATAGAGGATAAAGATAATTAGATGCAGCCGAAGAAGAAGCAAGATTTTCATAATAACATTCTTGTAAATATCTTGGGGGTTTTCTAATTCTGGTTGAGGCCCTAGTCTGAGAGATAATGACTTGACTTGCATCATTAGTTGTGTTTGAAGAGGATAATTCAGGTGTAGATAAAGTAGCAGTTGGAATAGGACAAGTGTTTATAGGAGAAAAAAGGAGGTCTATCTGTAGAAATAGTAGTCTCAGAATAAGGTAAAGGTATGTCAAGTGGTATGGAAGGAGACCCATGTGAAAAAGTAGTTGTTGGAAAAGGATCAGAATAAATAGTGGTGTCATTGTCTTTGCCAACATCTGATAAGAGAGAATTAGAGGCTGACATGGAAGGAACATGTGCAGAATAAGGAAATATTTTTTCATAAAATAGCACATTTCTAGATATTAAAAAAGATTTGTTATGTAAATTGAAAACAAGAAAACCTTTAGTACCATTTTTGCAGCCTAGAAAAATGCATTTAGATGCACGAAGATCAAGTTTGGTTCTCTTGGAAGACAAAGTGGTTGCAAAAGCCAAGCAACCAAAGACCTTGAGCTTAGTGAGGTCAGGTTTGCAATTATAAATCATCTCAAAGGGTGATTTTTGACATAATAAGAGAGTTGGAAATCGATTAATAATGTGAATAGCATGTTTAACAACAAATGACCAATTTTTTTTTTGGAAGTTTAGCTTGAAAAAGTAACGCATGACATACATTTAGAATGTGTTGATGCTTACGTTCAACAATTCCATTTTGTTGTGGTCGTTCAACACATGAAGTTTCATGTAAAATACCTTGAGTTTGAAAAAAATCATGAAGATAAAATTCTTTGCCATTGTCAGAACACAACCGTTTCAAATGAACATCAAATTGTTTTTCAATTAGAGAAATAAAAGAGGGAAGTATGACTTTTACTTCAGATTTAGTTTTTAATAAATGAGTCCAAGTGAAGTGGCTGTAATCATCAACAACAGTTAAAAAATATTTGTGTCCTTGAAAAGAACTAACATTTAAAGGACCCCAGATATCAACATGTATTAGTTCAAAAAATCTAGAAGATGTAGTATGGCTATTTGAAAATGATAAATTCTTTTGTTTAGAGTAATGACAAACATCACAAACTTCAAATTTATGAAAAGGAATTGCAAAATATTGAGAACAGATTTGTTGCATTACTTTGTTAGGGACATGACCAAGCTTGGAATGCCACAACATAGAATCATTCAAAGTATTATTATTAATAGCATTTTTGTACAATGTGTCATGAACATTGTTATTAATAATGGAAAAACATTGATTGAAAAAAGGATGGATATCAACTAAAGTAGATGCAGTCAAGTCATGTTCAATAGAGTCCAAAAGATAGAAGAGGCCTTGTTTTTTCTTAGCTACACCAATCGTCTTCGACGTGGATTTCAGCACAATGTGACAATTGGTGTCGGAAAATAGTATCAGACAATCAGAAGAAGTAAACCTGGGAATAGAAATTAAATGCATTGCAAAATGAGGTACATAAAATGTATTGGGAAAAAC